GAGGGGGGCTACAACACTGAAGTCCAGGGGGGCTACAACAAGGATCTGCCCATGGTAAATAGTTAGCAGGATTGGGGGCTTTAATTTGTAAGCTCTTTGCATGTGCTTATACAGTGCCACTCTAATCCAGAGTGGGGCTCTGACCTTGACTAGGGTGATGGGCACCACTACAATATGCACATTTGGAAACAGTAATCCACAATCCCAAGTCTCCTCCGAAGATCCTTCAAAACTGCTTCTCTCTTGCCATATTATACAAACCGTTTTACACATTCAGCCATGTCCTGAAAAGGAACTGTGCAAAACAGGCACCTTCTCATTATGTCTGCTCTCTGCATGCATCTGAAGTCTCAGCTGCTGAAATCACTGACAAAATGATGGCTATTGCTGGCGCCGGAGAGCCAATACCACAATGGAATGGAGACCTAAATTCTACCCCACACATCACGGCTAAATGCTGACTGTGTGATCTTTCTTACTGGTGCTGAGGTAAGACGAGGGAAGGACTTGATTTTCAGATCCCAAGTGGAGTTTGTAGCACTGCCAGAGATCCTTGTTAGCGTGTTAGCTCAGAAAACAAGAACCTCCGGCTCAACACTAGGGGTCAGTGTTGCATTTCTTGAAGCTGCAACGATGCTTTCTCGGTGGGCACATACAAACCCCTTTGCTGTGTAAAAGGGAGTCCCTGCCTAACTGAGAGCTCGTACAGGATACTTTAGATGCACAAAGAAAACCCAGTTCTCAAGTGACCTGCCTGGTGTAATGTATTCTGGGAAGGCGCCGGAGCAGACGTACCCCTCGATAATACAATACATGTGCACAGGGAAACTGCTGTTTTTATTGAAAAGAAAATAGGTCTGTGCAGAGAACTCATGTGCTCAGAATACCAGAACTGCAGTTCATTCCCTTGAATTCACAGCCAGCACTGGAACAAGTGTGTGTGTGGGGGGGGACTTTTTTTTTGTGTGCACACTGGTTATGACCCCTTCTTCCACCATCCGTATTTCCAAATACACGGAAGGAGAATACACTTCGCAATGACCAAATCGCTCTGATGAAGCAGGGAGGAAGACTGCCCCTGTGGTTAAAGCACTGAACTAAAACTCAGGTGATCTGGTTCAATTCCTGACTCTGCTACAGGCTCTCTGTATGACCCTGAGCAACTCTCTTTCTCTCTGTGCTGTTGGTCCCAGTCTGTAGAACAGGGATTATATTACTTCTTTTCCCCACCCCTGGTCTATTTAGATTGTAATCTCGTCTGGGCAGGGACTTTTACTATGGCCTGGTCCACACTAACCCCCCACTTCGAACTAAGATACGCAACTTCAGCTACGTGAATAACGTAGCTGAAGTCGAAGTACCTTAGTTTGAACTTACCGCGGGTCCAGACGCGGCAGGCAGGCTCCCCCGTCGACTCCGCGTACTCCTCTCGCAGAGCAGGAGTACCGGCGTAGACGGCGAGCACTGCCGGGATCGATCCGGGATCGATTTATCGCATCTAAACAAGACGCGATAAATTGGTCCCAGAAGATCGACTGCTTACTGCCGGACCCGGAGGTAAGTATAGACGTACCCTAAATCTTCACATATTCATCCATTTTAAATCAGAAGGGACCATGCAGATCATCTAGTCGGACTTCCTGCATCACACAGGCCAAGAATATCACCCAGCATGACCCCAGTATCAAGCCCATAACTTCTAGCTGACCCTGAACATAGCTTTTAGAAAGGCCTATCTTTTTGGAGAGTGCCTAGCACAATCCGGCCCCCATCTCAGTTGGGGATCTACATGCTACTGTAATACAATCAATAAATAATACTACATTAGACAGCGAATTCCAGTGTTTCCACTAGCCAGTAAGTGTTTCAAGGACAGTGTAGTTCCCCACTCTTAGAGCAGGTGGCATGAAATCTCCAAAGGGCTTCTGGGGAGGGGTTTGACTTCACAATCTACATGAAAAAGATCACATTAATTACAATCCTGTTTCTCCCTGTCCCCATTCCCTTGTCACATACTGCACCAAATACATTTTCTAAGCATTAATTAAATGGACCAGTGAATATTGCACTGTGTAATGAACACAAAGAGCTTGTCTTTACTGCTACCTTTCAATGGCAGGAAGATTATAGTGAGTGATGTAGTAGATATTGGAGGATTTCTGAATCCACCACATCTGAACTGTTTAAAATTTCAACAGCACTAAAATCTATTCGTTGGGAGTCCACGTCTGGCTCGGATCAGACCATGCTCATGTTAACTATTAGCAACTCGCTCTTAAACAGCAAAGCCTCAGACACGCCACGCAGTGATCAATGGCAATTCGTATCTGAACCAGCCAAAACACATTTCTGCTATAGTGTTTATTACAAGCAACTGTAGAAATCCCAGCTCTTTGGCTGATGGAAATTGGCATAGCTGCATGGACTTCACTGGAGTTATGCAGAGTTATAAGAGCTGAGGATGGGAAGATGGGACTGGGAGGGGGAGAAGACAGTCAAAGGCACGAATGGCAATTAGGCGCCTAACTCCCATTGACTTTCAAGAGGAATTAGGTGCCTAACTGCCATTTGTGCCTTTGAAAATCTGCCCCCTGTTCCATTATCTCATCATTCCAGTGCCTGATTTTGCAATGGGTTGAGTGCCTCCTGAGACAGCCCCACGTCCCCAGACTCCATTGCCTCTGATTATTTAGCTGATCCTTTTTTCAACCTTATATAAAAACCCAATCCTGGGTGTGTGAGTTTCGTACGGCTCATGGGGCTTGCTTGACAGCCCCGGTGGCTAGAGCTCTATGTCCATGAAGCAAGTACAGCACAGGCAGCAAGCTTCCCGTCCAACGAGCCTCAGCACTTGCAGGGAAAATCTCTAGGATTGAGAGGGCAATTCTGTCTTCGTGGCCCACCTAATTCGGGGCCTTTTTGCCAAAATAGACACTTGACAGCACAGAATCCAGGTTGGGTTTGACGAACAATCAGCAAAAGGTTCTATCAGCTCAAACTAGTAGCTGTCTAGTCACCTACTGTTCATCTGAATGCATTATTCCTAGTGTTTGAGATCGGTGCCTATAACACGATCTGTATTTCTTTACTAGCAGTTTAGGTAGAATTGCCGGACGGGAATAATGCGTTGCCATGGTATGTGTCCAGGATCTAAATTCAAATATGCAGGATCTTAACTGGGCATGAGCACACATATTATTTAATATGTGTGTGACTCCGTTTGCCCAAAGGTAGCGTGTGTTTAATAATAACACTTCCCTACTTCTCCTGATTGTTGTGAAGCTTAACTCATGCTTATGCACAGAGATGGTCAAAAAAGGTTTATGGAATGAAACTTGGCTTTTTGGACAAAAGTGGTACAGATTTTTCCTTTTTTAGTCAATGTTTTTCATTTGCAAGAAAATTTGAAAAGAATTTTTTTGGAAAACGATTGAATAGTTTTCAAACACTTTCAAAAGTACTCTGTCCGCTTCGGTGGGGAAAAATAACCCACTTACTTTTTTACTTCTTTCCTCCCTTTTTATATTCTTTAATTGAGGGAGGTGGGGGGGGGGGGAGAAATACAGTTGGAGAAAGAGTGCATTCCATTCCCCACTGAAGCAAACAAACAAAAAATTAAGAAAACTGACAAAAAAAGAATCTTGTGAAAAGTTCCAAACAAAAGAACATATTTTTTAGTTTCTTTCTAACCTATATACTTCCCTTCTTTCCATCAGCTCTATTGTGCAGTACATTCCGCTCCGAGGATGGAAGGCACTGGACAAGGGCAAAACACGCCCTGCTGGCCTGAAAAATCTATAAACATTTCTATTCTCAGTGGGATGCAGTGCAAAGCTCTCAGAGAAGAGGAGATGCTCAGGTTTATAAACAAAGTAATGGAGAAAATTGGATACAGTGTCCACTTCCCTGAATGGGGAGAGCTACCCATTT